ATATATATATATATATATAAACGTCTATGGGTTTATGTGTGTGTGTGTGTCTGTGTGTTCCAGCATAACTCTGGAACGACTCAAATAATTCCAACCAAACATTGTACACAGATGACTTACTCTCTAGAGACAAATACTGTGGGGGTAAGACACCCCTAACATCCCTCAGAGTGTGTGTTTGGTAAGATACAGCCTGCTGTGCCTTAAAATGACTTCTACTGTACAGTGCAGTGGAGTTGTCATGGGAATGGCTTCACAATACTCCACAAGGAGGCTCCCTCTGGTAAGGGGGAAAATCTAACATTCGAAATTACGTTTGGTCCAGATATTTTCCCTCTATAAATAAATACCGGGGCAATTCTGTGTTATTAACTAATTTATACATAAAAATGGAGAGCGACAAGGATGATCCATCAATTAGTTTGGAGTCGGCTGGTTGAAACTTGCACATTGAGTAGGAGAAGCTCTGTTGGCTCAGTGGTTAAAGTGCAATATTGCAGGTTAACTCATCCCACAGTCTGTGGTTCAATCCTGACCAGCTCAAGGTTGACTCAGCCTTCCATCTTTCTGAGGTCAATAAAATGAGGACCCAGATAGTTGGAGGCAATAGGCTGACTGATATAATAACCCCCCCCCAGAGAGGGCTGTAAACCACTAGGGGGCAGTATATAAGTCTGTGCTATTTCTATTATGAACTCCTAAATCCCCCTGAAGTTTGGATTTGATACCTTAGCTCTTTCTTCTTCTTTCCTGCCAGAGATATTTGGTTCCTCAAGCTCGTGTACTCTGTGGCTTGGACGAAAGCAAGGCCAGCATCACGCAGGATGTGCTGACCGTCCTCATTAAGCAGTACTGTAGGGAAAGTGGCGTCAGGAACCTCCAGAAGCAAATAGAGAAGGTGAGGCAACCGTACCTTTTGAGGGAGAGGCATTGAGACTGTCCGTGCGTGTTTTTCTCACAGACTTAATCCTCCCTCTTTCCCCCCTCCATGCTCAGGTACTTCGGAAATCTGCATACAAAATTGTCAGTGGAGAAAAGGAGAAAGTTGACGTAACACCCCAAAACCTCCAGGACTTTGTTGGGAAGCCCATTTTCACGGTCGATCGGATGTACGATGTGACTCCTCCCGGGGTGGTGATGGGCCTCGCGTGGACAGCAATGGGTGAGGCCGCCATCGGAGGGTTCATATTTCAGCACGGGCACCGGTCTTGATTGAATGCTCATTTCTTCTGTTTCTGCTATTCAGGTGGACAATTGTGTGTGTGTGTTGGGGGGGCGGCAGCTAGGAAGGGCAACTTAGGCCAGGATAAGGGATGATGGACATATGTAAAGCAAGCATGTACAGAAAGTGGAAGAAGCAGGAAATGTTTTCTTTTCACAGTGCTACTGGGGAGGGGGGACGAAGGGACAGAGTGGCTCAGTGGCTAAGATTCCGAGTTTGTCAATCAGAAAGGTTGGCGGTTCAAATCCCTAGCGCCATGTAACAAAGTGAGCTCCCGTTACTTGTCCCAGCTTCTGCCAACCTACACATCCATTTAAAAATGGGCTCTAATTTTTGACTCACCTTGCAGCAGTGGCTCCGACACCCCCACCCAGCAGGAGCCCACTGCTGGCCCAGTCCTTCTGCAGCCGCTAGCTGCCACTCACACACATTGTGGCCCGGCTTCCGTTTCGCCTTCAGATGCCTCCTGGAAGGCATATGCAGCTGATAACAGAGTCCGGATTCAGCTCTGCTATTGGCCGCAGATGCCTTCCGGCCGGCATCTAAAAACAAAATGGAGGC